TTTGTTTTTTCCTTTTGTTTTTGGGTGGGGATGATGAGAAAAGAGTGGTGTATTTGCAGGAAGTTCTTAGAGAAACCTAAACTGGCTTTTAATTTTGGAAGAGAAGAAGAGGGGAGGGGGGGGGGAGAGGGATATGATGAAATCACTTAGAACTTAGTGTTTTATATGTGAAAATACATGTTGTAGGGATTACAAATCTTTTATAAAACCTTTGTAATTGAATTTCTTGTTAATTTTTGACTGATGTAAAATTTTGTACATAAAGAGCTAAAGAAGTGTATGTAATGAATAAGTAACAGTAATCTAATCCAATAAATGTGTGGCTAGATTAGTTACTTTTTTCATATATACTCCAACAAATTTTTTATATTTTTAACTAATCTTTTTTAAAAAATAATATTTCTCATTCCTTTTCTATTATTTTTTTTTGAGAATAATAAAAGGTAGAAGGAGAGAAAATGGAAGAAAGGAGAGGAGGAGAGAGAAAATATTATAAAATTTTTTTACATATCGCTACAGCAAAATGTTATTTTAGATGTTTTGAAAATAATCTGTTGGAATAAAATTTTTAAGCTAAATAGTTAAAATTTGAAGATTTTGTGTGTTTTAAATTATCCGTCAGAGATGCTTACTTTTGAACAATACAAAAGAGAATATGTAGGATCCACCATTAAAGTTTGTTCTTTGTAATAATCTATTAGTTCATAATTTTGTTCATCTAATTCTTCAACTACTTTTTTACTGGTCAAAATTTACATCACTATATAATGTTTGACTAATATCATACTAGTGGGCCTACACACCATATGGTCCATCAGATGAAACCTTCAAGATCTAAATACATCAATCTGTCTGTCTTTGTTTAAATGGTCTCGCCTAATGGTGGGCCAGTCAGTAGGGGTACAACCAAACTTATGGTGCCATAGCAACTATTTTTTCACTTCTAACTTGTAATCTCAGCAAAGTTTACACCTAATCCAATCAATCTAGAACAATTGAGATCGATCATACATTGACCTTATTGCTGAAATATATGAAAGCATTTTATGATTGTCAGCTTTAACATAATAGTATATGATGGCATCGGATACCCTAAAGTTGGACCCGTTAAAAAGAATTTCTATAAAGTGGGCCGAATTTTAGAATGTGAACTTGGGCGATATGCCAAATCATAACTAGTCAGTTCTCATTATTTATGGTTATATTCTACCCTACTTCAAATTATTTGGATTCAGGTGTGGTGACATTAGGGGTGGCCTAACTTTGATTGATTGCGTTTTTTGTTTAGAGGACGTTCATAGGCGCTGGGTTTGATTGAGGGAAAACATGGGTTATAATCTCGCCTTTTTGGTTTACAGGTTATGCATGTCTACTCGAATATGTCACAATTTACAAACTAATCAACCAAGTGTTAGGATATCTGATATGATTAATTAAATAAACTGAATTAAAAATGATTAGTACTTCACACAAACCCGAAATGATGAGATTGTTTCATACAATATGACTCACTCGACAACCCTATGTGGCATTAGTTATTTGGTAGGTGTTTTCTTTTGCTTTTTTGTTATCTTCTTGCTAATATCCTTCTTGTCGTGAACAGTCAGGATGTTGTAAGCCTCCAAATATATGTGGATACCAGTATGTAAACCCTGTAATGTGGATTAACCCGGCGACCACGATTGCGGATCCGGACTGTTCCATTTGGAACAATGATCCAAACCAATTGTGCTACAACTGTGATTCCTGCAAGGCTGGTCTGCTGGGGAACCTGAGAAGGGAATGGAGGAAAGCTAACGTGATTCTGATTGTAGCGGTGGTGGTGCTGATATGGGTTTATGTTATAGCATGCAGTGCACTCAAAAATGCTCAGACTGAAGAACTCTTTGACCGATACAAGAGAGGTTGGGTTTGATTTGTAGATTTTTAAAGGCATCCCCAGGCTACAGACTCATGGTTTTGATTTGTTTTACTTTTCCTCCTTTAGTGCGAGTGTTTTTGAATCCAGTGCATAAATTCCTCTGTACTGTTGTATGCACACTAAAAAGGAACTGAAAGGAATAGAAGTTGGAGGATTGGGTTTGAATTTCCTGTTCCATATTCTTCCACTTATTATAGTGGCAAAAAGAGAAAAGCATTGTTTTAGGTTGTTGTACCTTTTATTTCTGTGGTCATTGTCGCTTCTTGTCGACCTCACAGTTCTTAAACACGATCTATAGAAACAATATGATATTATTAGCGGGTTTAGGCTAAATCTTGGAAATTTTGGAAGGTAAAGGGGTGGATTTAGAATCACTTGATATATTGGTTCACACAAACCTGGTTAAAATAACACGAACTCCACTAACACGTATACACAAGTATAAATAATCCAATGTAAATTGAATATATTTTTATACGATATTACTAAATGTAGCATACAATCTCAACATTCCACCGTCCATTGTCCTTTTTAAGTTTAATGGGTAGAGGTGTTCGGACTAATTTATGTACATCTTAATTAATATATTTTTCAATTTGGTCAGAGATAGACTATTTACACCGAAATTAAGGTATTCATAAGAGATAAATTTTTCATAGTCTAATTTTAAGAATTGTCAAGATTCAAACTTAAAAGAAAGTGCCTTAGTTGTTCCTACTTGAACCATCCTTTGTTCCACCGTCCATTGTCAACTAAAATATGAAAACACTAGTCCTAACCCGTGTGCCTAAAAGTACGATAAAATATAAAATTCGAACGTCCAAAAAATCGATCCCATTATATTAATTTTATTAAAAATATATTAACTACAAATTAATCAAATATTAAATAATTAAATATATGATAAAAATGAGTGATGTGATATTTGTAGAGAGGAAATATATAAATGATTAAATATGTGATAAAAATTAATGATATGATTTGACGTTTGAGTCTGACAAAAGGATGATAGTGAGATAAGTGATTGGTGATAATTTTGAGAAAAAAAATATGACTAGAATAAAATTTAAACACACTCTTATTTTATTATATAAATTTTTGTGGGCACATCTATCCAGGCACATGCGCAAATACACACAAATTATGGAAGTGATAAAAAGACCTAATTATCTCCCCCCCCCCCCCTGTTTTTTATAACAATTTGTTGTTTATAAGCA